CCCCATCATCCGCATCCTCATGTTTCGCATCATCATCTTATTAGAATCATCCTCAGCGTCATCGTCACCACCATCATCGTCATCATGATGGTGAGCATCAGCATCAGCGTCGGCATCATCATCATCATCATCATCATCGTCGCCATCCTCCTCATTATCACCATCATCATCATCATCATCATCATCATCATCATCATCATCATCATCCGTCCCAGCATCATCAGCATCTGCATGATCACCATCACCAACGTCACCACCATCATCGTCATCGGCATCGTCATGATCATCATGTACATCATCAGCATCAGCATCAGCATCAGCATCCCCACCATCAGCAGCGTTCTCCTCATCATCAGTATCATCATCATGGTCATCGTCACCATCATCGGCATCGTCATCATCATCATAATCAGCAGCAGCATCAGCATCATCACCCTCACCATCATCGTCATCGACGACATGGTCATCGTCATCAGCATCGTCACCAGCATCAGCATCGTCATCATCATCAGCAGCAGCATCAGCAGCATCAGCATCAGCATCATAACCATCATCATAATCAGCATGATCGGCATCAGTGCTGCCGTCCTCATCGTCATGGTCATCCGATTCATTAACGTCATCATCGTCATCATCATCATCATCACCATCATCATCACCATCCGCATCATCATCATCACCATCACCATCCGCATCAGCATTATCGTCAGCATTATCATCATCATCCCCACCATGATCGTCAGCGTCCTCGTCATCATTATCACTATCATCGTCATCAGGGTCATTATCGTTCTGATCCTCATCATCATCGTCGTCGTCGTCATCATACTCGTCAGCATCATCAACGTCATCATCAGCATCACCATCATCAGCCTCACCATCATCATCATCAAAAGCATCATCATCATCATCATCATCATCATCATCATCATCATCATCATTATCATCGTGATCGTCATCATCATCATCATCATCAGCAGCAGCAGCATTAGCATCATCGGCATCGTCTGCATCATCATCATCATCATCAGCATCATCATCATCCCCAATCATCATCACCATCATCAACATCGCTCTCGTCATCATCAGCATCAGCATCCGCATCATCCCCATCATCATCAGCATCCCCATCATCAGCATCAGAATCAGCATCAGCATCAGCATCATCATCATTAGCAGCATCAGGATCATCACCTTTATCATCGCCATACGCATCATCATCATCAGCAGCAGCATCGTCAGCAAAATCATCATCAGCATCATCATCATCATCGACATCAGCATCAGCATCGTGAGACTCACATCACCATAGCCATCGTCATCATCATTTTCAACGTCATCATCATCATCATCATCACCATCATCATCGTCATCATCATCATCATCATCATCATCATCATAGTCATCATGATCGTCACCGTCATCAGCACATCAGCGGCATCGTCATTATCATCATCAACATCAGCATCATCATGCAGCCCATCACCATCATCATCATCATCATCATCATCATCATCATCACCATCAATATCTACATCATCATCGTCATTGTCATCATGCTCATCCTCATTCCCATCGTCATCGTCATTATCGTCATCATCATTACCACCATCATTATCATCAGCATGAGCATCAGCATCATAATCCCAATCATGATCATCAGCAGTGTCATCGTCATCATCGTCGTCGGCGTCGTCATCGCTTTCGCCATCACCATCACCATCATCGTCATCATTATCGTCATCATCATCAGCAGCGTCATCATCATGATCGCCGTCATAATCAACATGATCATCACCACCACCACCATCATCATCACCATCATCAACATCGTCGTCAACATCATCGTCCTCGTCAGCAAAATCGTCATCATCAGCAGCATAAGCATCAGCATCATCATCGTCATCTTCATCGTCATCGTACTCGTCAGCATCAGCAACCGCATCAGCATCAGCATTATCTGCATCATCATCATCCTCGTCAGTCATATTATCATCGGCATCATCATCATGATCGTCATCGTTTTCAGCATCCTCATCGTCATCAGCATCATCATCGTCATCGGCATCAGCGTCGTCATCAGCATCGTACTCATCATCAGCATCAGCATCAGCATCATCCCGAGCATCGTCGTCATCGTCATCATCATCATCATCATGACCGTCGTCGTCATCATCAGCATCATCATCGTCATCGCCATCGTCATCATCAGCATCATCCGTGGCATCAGCATCATCATCAGCATCACCATCGTCATCGCTGTCATCCTGATCGTCATTATCATCGTCAACGTTACCATCATCGTCGTCATCAGCAGCAGCATCAGCATTAGCAGCATCCTCATTGTCATCGTCAGCGTGACCGCCATCATCATCGACATCATCATCAGCATCAGCATTATCAGCATCAGGATCGTAATCATCATCAGCATCAGCATCATCAGCATCCTCCTCATCAGCATCAGCGTCAGCACCAGCAACACAAGCTTCATCATCATCATCGTCATCGGCATCGCCCTCATCCTCATCATCATCATCATCATCATTATCATCAGCATCAGCATCATCATAACCATCATCGTCATCAGCATCACCATCGTCATCGTCATCGTTACCATCATCGTCATCATGATGATGATGATCATCATCATCATCATCAGCAGCATCAGCATCATCGTCATCATCAGCGTAATCGCCATCGTCGTTGTTACCATTTGCACTAGCATCAACATCAGCATCATCAGCATCAGCATCAGCATCATCAGCATTATCATCATCAGCATCAGCATCGTCATCATCATCATCAGCAGCATCATCATCGTCATCGTCATCATCAGCAGGATCATCATCATTCCTCACCCCTACCGACTACGGCGCGGCGTCCGCGTCTGCGCGGTTGCAGTTGCGCTTGTGTACGCCCACCTCACTTGCTCGCGCCGCCCCCCCTGGCCGCCCTCCAGGCCGGGTGTTCCCGCGGGCCGGCCCCCCCGCGAGCAACGGACGACGGGGGACTTCGCTCCCCCCCTCCTCCTCCTCCTCCTCCTCCCCCTCCTCCTCCTCCTCTTCCTCCTCCTCCTCCTCCTCTTTTCCTCCTCCTCCTCCTCCTCCTCCTCCTCCACTTCTTTTCCTCCTCCTCCTCCTTCTCTTCCCTCCTCCCCACCTCCTCCCCCTCCTCCCCCTCCTCCTCCTCCTCCTCCTCCTCCTCCTCCTCCTCCTCCAACTCCTCCGCCGACAAGTGCTCCCGGGCCAGGCCCCTGCGAGCAGCCGGACGACCACGGGCACTCGGGGGGGGCAGGATCGAGGGCCCAGGTCCTCTCCGATGTCGACTTCGGCCCTCGGTTAAGGGCCCCTAGATGGTAAGGCCTCGGGCTGGGCACAGGCATCACCACCAGGTAGCCCCAGCTGGCCTCAACAGGCCCCCGAGAAGACTGGGGCGGTCTCCGCACCTTGGCGCCGCCGCCGGCGGCACCCCTCGTGCTCTCTGCGCCCTCGGGTTGAAGTGTTGAGACAGCCCTGGACTACGCCGTGGCCTGTTGAGGCCAGCAGGGACTACCCAGTGGGGGGCTGTCTGTGCGCCACCCGGAGCTTTACCATCTCCGACGTCGACTGCGGCCATTTTTGGGAGCCTTCGTAGAGGCCTCACAGATGGGGTTGGAGTAGACGAGGTAGGAGGATCTCGCCGCATCACCGATGCGTCGTCGATGCGTCATCGATGCATCGACGATGCATTGGCGATGCATGGGCGATGCGTGGGCGACGCCTGCGATACAGTGGCGACGTGGGCGTGGAGAAGGTCGGGCTCCACATCGAGCCGCAACGGCGATGCATCGGCAATGCTGCGCGATCCTCCGACCCCGTCTACTCCGATCCCATCCGGTAGGCCTAGAAGAATACTCCCAGCCTGGCTTCCGCGAGCAGCAGACGACTGGAGGCACTGGCGCGTCGGGGTCAAGTCCCCGTCTGGCCGAGAGAAGCCTCACCATTTCCGACGTCGACCTCGGCTCTTGTTGGGGGCCTTCGGAGACCCCCAAGATGCTCCCGCGAGCAGCGGACGAGCTCTCTGCCGCAGCAGACACCCCAAGCAAATGCTGGAGCCAAGCCCGCGCGAGCGGCCTCGTGCACGTGCAGGGGTGGAGAAGCCCCAAAGGCCAGGAGGAGGAGGATTAGGCGCGAGGAGGAAGAGAAGGGCACGCGGTTGGAAACGACGGCGCCGTCGGAAACGAGGGCACCCGCGACAACAGTGGGCACCTTCGGTGTTTTTCTTGTTTGTAACTCCACTTCGCCCGCTTCTCGTCGTCCTCCTCCTTTTCCCCTCCCGCTCCTCTCTTGATTCCTGCTTCACAGTCATGATGCGCACCGTTTTTCTGCGCCACAGTCGAGCGGGTGTCCTTTGGACTTCCACGAAGTGCTGCCAATCGTGCACTCTTCTGCCCACGCGTCCTTCCAGATGCTCGGCCCAGCCAGCCAGCCAGGAAGAGAACGAGGAGGAGGAGGAGGAGGAGGAGGAGGAGGAGGAGGCGCGAGGAGGAGGAGGAGGAGGAGGAGGAGGAGGAGGAGGAGGCGCGAGGAGGAGGAGGAGGAGGAGAGGAGGAGGAGAGAGGAGGCGCGAGGGAGGAGGAGGCGCGAGAGGAGGAGAGAGGAGGAGGAAGGAGGAGGAGGAGGAGGAGGAGGAGGAGGAGGAGGAGGCGCGAGGAGGAGAAGGCGGCGCGGCAAGGAGCGAACAACTGGGGGGCACCAGCACGCCTGGTTGAGTCGACGTCAGGCCGAAAGAGGCCCCGGGAGGCCCCCCTCGCCCCGCGGGCGCTGTGGCAGAGGGCGCGCGGGGCACCACACGGCAACAGAGCGCGCGCGCACGAGAGGATCGGCGAGAGGATGCGCGAGAGGCTCGGCAAGAAGGAGGAGGAGGAGGAGGAGGCGGAGGAGGAGGAGGGAGGAGGAGGAGGAGGAGGAGGAGGAGGAGGAGGAGGAGGAGGAGGAGGGATCGGCGGGAATATCGGCGGGAGGCTCGGCGGGAGGCTCGGCGGGAGGCTCGGCGGGAGGATCGCCGGGACGCTCAAGATAGAGGGACGAAGCTCCTGAGAGGGCGACAGAGGATGTGGCCAATGTCGTGTCGCGACGGCTCTGGCAGTGGTCTCGGGCACCGCGCGGATCGTTCAACCTTGAACGATCGGCGGCTTTCCGATCACCGGATCGTTCCCATGTTGGCCGATCCTGATCCACTGGTGGCCTTTGACCTTGACCGGCCGCGGCGGTGCCGCCGCGCGTCGACACGACCCGCACCTACAGCACCCGAGAGGACGGAAGAGGGCTCGAGCGGCAGGACAGAACGATCGAATCTACAACCTCCTTGACGTCTTCGGCCCGTTCTTGGCATCCAGGGGGTCTCTGGAGAGACCCCCGGGGACTCCCGAAGGGCCTCCCGAGGCTGGGATCGACGGAGGCGGAGGGGGAAGCAGAGTAGGGGCGGGGGTTTTCCTCCCCCCTGCTCCTCTTCCTCCCCCCCACTCGCCCTCCCAGCCCCCCCTCCCCCTCCTCCCCCCCTTTCCTATCCTCCCTTCCCCACCCTCACCCTCCCCGTCCTCCGATTTGAATCTCCCACCGTGTGCGTTACCTCCTGGGCTGTTCAGAGAGGAGGTGAAGCTATCCACCACGGAGGCGATCAGCATGTACCGCAACATGATCAGACGCATCGCCGACGACCGTGCCAAGTCCAAGCTAGAGAAGCAAAAGGAACAAGATAAGCAACAAGCCCGAATTAAGACCCTGATGGAGACGCCGCCGGCCACGAGATTCGCATCAGCCGTAAAGCAGGTCATGAAGGCCACCGAGACCCCGTCTCTGGACTGGGCGGCCTACCAGACTGGCACCCAGGCGGCGGATTGCGTGCAGAACGTTCCAGGCAAGCGCACGTTCACGAAGTCCGAGTTGAGCACGAGGAAGGGTGATCGGAATCAAGCCCCTCGGAAGCCAAAAAACGGACGAGCCCCAGGTTCCAATGGGACCTGGGGCAAGAAGGACAACCTTGCCACCCCTTCGATCCACGCAGAGAACGGCAAAGGCAAGGGGAAAGGCAAAGGCAAGGGAAAAGGCAAAGGCGACGTTTCACAAGAAGTTCAGATTCACTCCTAAAGCTCTTCCTCAACTTTCCCAGGTGTCCAAAATGCTGCAGCAGGCGAGGCAAAAACTGTTGTGGCATTGGCATTTCAGGGGCCAGGAGAGGCCCGACAAGTTCAGAGTAAAATCTACGAGGACCTCAGTGGCTCCATTTCCCCACTTGGTTCCACCCGAGTTGGACAGCATGCTCAAGGGCATGCGGCACTATGTATTCTAAGGTTGCGAGCGTGAGCTCCAGAAGCAATATGCAGTCCGCAAGCGGTCAAACATGTATGGATTAGTTCGTCTCGCCGTTCGTCAACTTCGTGATCTAGAGTGGGTCCCTGTGGTGTCCGACAAGGATGGAGGTTTCGCACTGGTGAGGAAGACTGACCTCATTGAAGCGCACAGGAGCGCCCTGGCGGGCACCAGCTACGAAGAGATTTCCCCGCTCCAACTTCATTGGAAAAACATCACATCTGAGTATTGCGACATCGTCAAGCAAGTTTCGGAAGACGACCCCACGGTGGATGGCCCGTCTCTCTTGCAATCCCTGGAAGGTGGGGAACGGAAGGTCACAGCCACTCTTGGGGAGACGCTGAAGACGCACAAAGCGCCCGGCGAGGTTGCATTCAGGATCCTGCACACTCGCAGGCATCATTCGTTTCGTGGCCTCGGTGCGTGGCTATCGAAAACGATCAGGGACCAATTAAAGCACAAACCGTACATATTGTCGAGCACAGAACAATTGATCGAGGTTTTGAACAAGACCACGTTCGCTGCGAATGTTGCCTTTCTCAGGTTCGACGTGCGGGACTTCTTCATGTCTGGCGACCCGTCCACACTTGTGTCAGGTGCAACTCGAGTGGCGCCCCCTCATCTGAAGTCTGCTGCTCGGCGCGTGTCCGAGTTCCTCTTAGATCACCAATACATCAGAAGCGATTTCTTCCCCGACCAGCTCTGGAAAGTCATCGTTGGATCCGGCATGGGAATGAATTACTCTGGCGATCTATCAGACGCAGGGTTTACGATAGTCTTGAAAGAGGCCGTGTCGATAGCAGCTCCTGGCTGGCCGAGCACGGCATTCTCTTGTACTGCCGCTACAAAGACGACATCCTCATCATCGCCGAGGGGGTGATGCGGAGCTATTGGCAGTGCTACCAGTGGCTAGTGCAGAATGACACGTGCTTCAGGTGCAAACTAGAAGGGAATTCGTTCCGTGGGGTTGATTTTCTCGACATCCACATTTTCAAGGGCCCCAGGTTTCAAAAGCATGGCCTTTTGGATTACAAGCCCATCTGGAAACCCACTAGCTTAGGAGTTCCTCTATCGTGTAATTCATCACATCCCATGTCTGTACACGTGGCGTGGCCGCAAGCCGAGCTTGCGAGGCTAGACAGACATTCTTCGAGCACGGCCATCAGCGCCGAGGCCCGCGGGGTGTTCCTCGACAGGCTTTCGCGATTCGGTTTCCCGAGAGCGTACGTCAACAATATCAGCACGTGGTCGCCCAAACCCGACAGAGAGCGCCGGCCCAATGAGGCCAGGTGCTGGAAAATGTGGGTAAGGTGCCCTTTTGACCCCGTGTGGGCCCGCGTGGGGATTTCAAGATTGTTCCAGGATTTTCTCAGCAATCCCCTGGCACAGGACACATGCAAGAGGTTTTTCGGCAAGGTTCCCGAAATCCGTCCAGCATGGGTGGCATCGTCCCCACCGTTTGTCCAAGTTGTGCAGCATGCTGCAAGTTAATGGAGGTTGGTTGGGTGCGGCGGAGGCTGTATCTATTTATCTGCAATGCCAGGCAGGCGACGATACGAATTCACCGGCGGGTTGTTGAGCTAATTTGCCAAATCCGTCGTAACACTTTGGCGTCTTGCCCTGGTTTTCAGACTCCCCCCATGCCCGGCAGTAGGCATCTTGGATCAGGGTGGCGCTTACCGCGCCCCAGGCCCAGCAGCTTAGCATAGCGTCTGACTGCTGCTTTCCAGTAGTTCTGGAGAGACCCGAGTCCAGTGGAGAAACATTCACATCTCGTTTGATCTCGTTGAATCAATTCTCAGAGGATCGGCGAGAGGATGCGCGAGAGGCTCGGCAAGAAGGAGGAGGAGGAGGAGGCGGAGGAGGAGGAGGGAGGAGGAGGAGGAGGAGGAGGGATCGGCGGGAATATCAGCGGGAGGCTCGGCGGGAGGCTCGGCGGGAGGATCGCCAGGACGCTCAAGATAGAGGGACGAAGCTCCTGAGAGGGCGACAGAGGATGTGGCCAATGTCGTGTCGCGACGGCTCTGGCAGTGGTCTCGGGCACCGCGCGGATCGTTCAACCTTGAACGATCGGCGGCTTTCCGATCACCGGATCGTTCCCATGTTGGCCGATCCTGATCCACTGGTGGCCTTTGACCTTGACCGGCCGCGGCGGTGCCGCCGCGCGTCGACACGACCCGCACCTACAGCACCCGAGAGGACGGAAGAGGGCTCGAGCGGCAGGACAGAACGATCGAATCTACAACCTCCTTGACGTCTTCGGCCCGTTCTTGGCATCCAGGGGGTCTCTGGAGAGACCCCCGGGGACTCCCGAAGGGCCTCCCGAGGCTGGGATCGACGGAGGCGGAGGGGGAAGCAGAGTAGGGGCGGGGGTTCTCCTCCCCCTGCTCCTCTTCCTCCCCCCCACTCGCCCTCCAGCCCCCCTCCCCCTCCTCCCCCCCTTTCCTATCCTCCCTTCCCCACCCTCACCCTCCCCGTCCTCCTCGTGTTCCTGCTCCTCCTGCTCCTCCTGCTCCTCCTGCTCCTCCTGCTCCTCCTGCTCCTCCTCCTCCTCCTCCTCCTCATCCTCCTCCTCATCCCTCCATGTGAATACTACTCTCCTCTCCCTGGATCCAGCCCGAATGGTGCAGTGTTTTTCCGCATATTCTATCTTAACGTGTGTAGGATTCGAAAGCAATATTCCTCAGGTTTGCTCTGTCGAAACGTTCTTGCTGCTTCGAAATGGTGCTCTCGCTGCAGCGCTGGCTCCATTATCGGATCGACGCCTTGCTCCCGCCGTTCGCGGTGGCGCTCTCGCAATAGGGCGGCCCACAACTCGGGATCTGAGTCGAGCCTCGTCGTTGTCGCCCAGCTCCTTTCACCTCCTCCATCCCTGGCCCTCCTGCTCATCCGGCTCCTGCTCCTACTGTTCCTTCTCGTCCTCCTCCTCCTCCTCCTCCTCCTCCTCCTCCTCCTCCTCATCCTCCTCATCCTCCTCCTCCTCGCGCCTCCTCCTCTCAAATACGTGCACAGCTCCCCTTTGATGACTGCGCATACCACGGTTGTGTCCTTTCGGGGGTTCCATGTTCATGAGGACATCAGTCGGCAGACATATAGAGAAAACCTCAGAGCAGTGGGAGAGGCTGCGCAGGAGAGATGGGATGTCAGATGTGGTGCGAGCGCGATCAGCTTGCTCTCTCCACCCTCTCGCCTCCTCCGCCAGCGAGGCCGATCCTCGTGGGCCGAGCCGCGGCCACCGTGGTCCCGATGCTGATCGTGGTGCTCGGCCGGATCCAGTCACTGATCGCGGCCGTGACACGGGCCCTGTCCCGATCCTGATGCCGATCCTGGTCGTAATCCTGGTCGCTCTCCTGGTCCTGCCCTCCGATGCTAACGGCCCAAACAGTCCCATCGCTGATCAGCGCGAAAGCAAGCCCTGTCTGAAGCCCAGACCGGCCGCGATGAGGACGACGAGGGCGAAGACGATGACAGAGAGGAGGAAGAGGCGGAGGAGGAGGAGGAGGAAAGCAAGAGCAGGCCCTGTGTCTGAAGCCCAGATCGACCTCGATGCGGACGAGGACGAACAGGAGGACAGAGAGGAAGGTGTGGTGGAGGAGGCCGAGGACGAGGAGGTGGAGGAGGAGGACAGAGGAAGTGGAAGGGGACGAGGAGGAGGAGGACAGAGAGGAAGGGGACGACAGAGAAGAAGGGGAGCAGGAGGCCCGAGAGGAAGGGGAAAGAGGAGGACAGAGAGAAAGCGGAGGAGGAGGAGTACAAAGAGGAAGAAGAGGAGTAACATAATACTACAAATGCCACAAATCACAATATCAATAATAATAACAAACTGAAACTGGTAATAATAACGATGCAAATAATAATCATACTACTGCAAATGCTACGAATAGTGATGATGTTAATGGCCATACTAATAGGTGGTAACAATGTTCCTAATAATACTATTGTTAATAATGTACTAATAACAATAACAGCAATAATAATGAAAGTGATAACAATAACACTGCTAATCATATTACTCATGAAAATACGAATAATAATAATAATAATAATAATAATACGAATAATAATAAGAAGAAGAAGCATCATCATCATCATCATCAGCAGCAGCATCATCATCATCATCATCAGCATCATCATCATCATTAACAACAGCATCAGCATCAGCAGCAGCATCATCAGCATACGAATAATACGAGAGAGAGATAGAACAAATATATATATATATATATATATATAAAAACAAAAAACTAATAATGCTGATACCAACACTAGGAAGCCTAAACATACGAATAATGATACGAGTACACATAATAATCATGAGGCTAATACGAATAACGATCGCAATTCCAATACTACTACGAATCATAATAGTACGCACAATGATGAGACGATGGAGAAGAAAAAAAGATGAGGACGAGAAGGACTAGGGTCCAGGGATGCTGACGAGCAGCAGCAGCAGCAGCAGCAGCAGCAGCAGCAGGAAACTCCTCAGCAATGTGCGATCGGGGCTCCGAACGGGGGCCGCCGCCGAGGGTCCCGCAGCCGGCGTCGAGCAGAACTCGTTGGGGGTGATCGCCTGATGGGCGCCCTCTCACAGAAGGGAAGGAGGATGGTGATGATGGTGATGGTGATGGTGATGGTGATGATGATGAGGATGCGGAGAATGAGGAGGATGAGGAGAATGGAAAGAGCGCCTTCTGTGGTCGCTTGGGGGGGGAAGGGTGGGTTTGCCCCCCGCCCCCGCCACCCCCCCCTCTCCCT